AGCACCCCTGACAACCAGGCCTCTGAGGTAGAGATAAGAAAACTTGACAAACTGTGGATGAAGAAAGCTGTATTATCGATTTGTACGCTGTATTTCTATAAAAGATGAACAAAGTGTCTAGATGTTGGGATATAACAAGTTGCATTAACAATTTATGTATTGTTAATTATAATATTATTGGTAATTTGAATAGAAATATAATGATTTATGATTATAAACGTAATTTTGCTAACTTCAAAGACAGTACCCATCAATTAGTATTTGAGATCAATAACAAAGTATGAATTACTTAAATAAAGGAACATCACACCCTGCATACTCACTAAACGATACATACATTTGCAGATGGCCGTTTAGTGCACGAATTCCTGTTTCCAGATTGACACAGCTTATTAAACAGTGAACAGCTTACAGTTTGATAAATAATTTGTAATTGAACAGTTTACAGTTCGATGAATAACTTTTAAGGGAATAGTTTACAGTTTAATAAACAACTTGTACATGAATAGCTTGCAGTTTGATACAGTTTAACATGTAACTTGTAAGTGAATAGTTTACAGTTTATTAAATAGCATACAGTTTATTAACTAACTTGTAATTGAAGAACTTACAGTTTGATAAACAACTTCTAACTGAACAGGTTCAGTTTAATAAATACCTTATAAGTGAACATGTTACAGTTTGATAAACAACTTCTAAGTGAACAGGTTACAGTTTAATAAACAACTTCTAAGAGAACGGGTTACAGTTTAATAAATAACTTCCAAGTGAGTAGCTTACAATTTGATAAATAACTTGTAAGTGGGCAGCTTACAGTTTGATAAATAAATTGTGAGGGAACAGGTTACAGTTTGATAAACATCTTCTTAGTGAACAGGTTACAGTTTGATAAACAACTTCTAAGTGAACAGGTTACGGTTTAATAAACAACTTCTAAGTGAACAGGTTACAGTTTGGTAAATAACTTGTAAGTGGACAGCTTACAGTTTGATAAATAAATTGTGAGGGAACAGCAAACTGTAACCTGTTCACTTAGAAGTTGTTTATTAAACTGTAACCTGTTCACTTAGAAGTTGTTTATTAAACTGTATCAAACTGTAAGCTATACACAAGTTGTTTATTAAACTGTATCAAACTGTAAGCTATACACAAGTTGTTTATTAAACTGTAAAATAAACAACTTCCAAGTGAATAGCTTACAGTTTGATAAATAACTTGTAAGTGGACAGTCAGTTTGATAAATAAATTGTGAGGGAACAGCTTACAGTTTAATAAACAACTTGTGTATAGCTTACAGTTTGATACAGTTTAATAAACAATTTCTAAGTGAACAGGCTACAGTTTGATAAACAACTTACAAGTGAATAGCTTACAGTTTGATAAATAACTTGTAAGTGGACAGTCAGTTTGATAAATAAATTGTGAGGGAACAGCTTACAATTTAATAAACAACTTCTGAATAGCTTACAGTTTGATACAGTTTAATAAATGACTTGTAAGTGAATATACTACAGTTGGATACAATAATAAAATGTTTATTGTACTTTTAGTGTATTTTTCTAAACTGTACGCGGTTCTTTGATATTTGAAACGTAGTATTTGTTTTTGTTGTAATGCAAATTTCGTGTTTCTAGCATTTGAATATATTTTTTTATCACAGTCACCACAGGAAACAAATACGTTCGAATCTGATATTACACACGTACATAATATATTCGCTATAACTAGAATCCTCTTTACAGGTAAGCTTAAGGTTGCAGCTGTAAACATGTTGCTCTGTTAGTGACTCATAATTTATACTTACTGTCATTGGTCAGATAAATAACTGGATATAGGAGTATTTGGTATTCATATTTCGAGTGTCTATAAAACTTTTCAATTGCAAGTGTCATATATATATATATATATATATATATATATTGTTATATTATTGATAGCCTAGACCCGTTGCATTGTGCACTGCCTCCTAGTGGTACAGCGGAAAGCCTGAAGGCTTATACCGCTGAAGACTAAGTGTCAACTACTCTAATAAGCACAGCACAGATAGCCCATTGTGAAGCTATGCACTTAACTACAAACAAAAATTTTGCATACTTTTCCAGCATCGATAAATCGTTTTGCAAATGCGTACATAAGTATTTCAGAAAAAAAACTCGTATATTTTGCTATGAAGCGTAACAAAAGAGAGGAAACCTCCAATTTTTGTACTCATTTTACGGAAATAAAACAACTTACAAATTATATCAAAATTAAATCATTATTCCAAATAGCTATTATTTCACAAGAAGAAGCGTTTGGACTTGTATGTGTCATATGCACACGGTGAAAACATAAAACATAAAAAATTACCAAATGCGAACAATTTGTTTCTCAATAAAGATCTCTAATAATAATATCTAGTACAGATTTAGTTTGAAAGTTTTATGTTGCATCATGTGTTTTGTTCGTAGTTTGATGACAGTGATTGATGCTATATATACATGTCCATAAATTACAAAATAGCAAACTTTGTACCACACAGTATGTTCGTTAAATCACAATTAACAGATGTATACGGAAGAGTCTATAACAACGGAAACATAATGTTCGTAAATAACAATTAGTAGATGTATACGGAAGTTTATGTTATAACAACGGAAACATAATGTTCGTAAATAATAATTAACAAAAGATTTCAACTCATTTTGAACTTTGTATTGAACTATAAAAAAACAACAGCTAAAACAGTTCTATATCTGTTTTAATGGATGTTGATGAAATAATTAATATGGCAATGTATGTTTCCAGAAGACAAACAACATCCCCTTTAATAAGTGCGCAAGCCTACTACGTGTAAAATATGATCTAAAAGTTTTATTCCACTTGAAATAATGACAATAATTTGGTACATTGTTGTATTTAGAAGGTACAAAAAGTAAACTGTTGACATGCATATAAGTAAATTATAGATTTTGGCTACACTAATCAATATAAGCATCTATATAATCTTGTTTTTAGCATAAAGGTTTTTCACAATTGACAATTATGATGATAAAAAATACACTATTTTAAACAGTTTACCAACTAAACGGTATGAAAGAATAAGTTATTACCAATAATATTAATTAATTTTCAAATACCTATATGAGTATATAATACTTAAAACAATTAATTAAGGGATAATCAGAGTTTTTTATATTGTACTTATGAAGAGGCACAACTACTGATTTAATAATGCCAAATTAATTTTTATGCACAGTAAGTTTGTAAAGTGCTAATTACTTCTATTGAAGTCTATGTCCACAGATATTTATTTGGTACTACAGTCTTTGCTGCTCAATAAATGATCAGAAAACATTTATGATCAAAGGAGCCTCCCAGACATTAATGCACTTCGCACATCGAAGTAGCATGTTTGAAATGAGTGATTCAATGAACTGTTGAGGTAATAACTCACTTTTCCATGAGACCTGTTTCCAGTTCTTCAAAACCGCTTGGATGTGAATGATATATTGCTAAACAATTAGCGAAAAACCACAGTAAATAGAGCAAAATATCAGAACCTTTGACACGTGCTAATTCCATGAGAATGGCTTAGAGGTGAAACTGGTAGAAGTGTGGACACTCGAGTTTCTGAGCATAGAAGATACATTAAATGTGGAAACACAAACAATTCAATTTTTCTCCAGATGAAAGATTCTAACCATCAACTCCATTAGAAATTAACAATAATTTTACACAAAATGGATAATTGCATAACAAGGAGAATCATCGATAGTTGCTTAATCAAGTAGCGATCCTAGTTTCAATATCTTCAATCAAGTACCGATCCTAGTTTCAATATCTTCAATCAAGTACCGATCCTAGTTTCAATATCTTCAATCAAGTACCGATCCTAGTTTCAATATCTTCAATCAAGTACCGATTCTAGTTTCAATATCTTCAATCAAGTAGCGATCCTAGTTTCAATATTTTCAATCAAGTAGCGATCCTAATTTCAATATCTTCAATCAAGTACCGATCCTAGTTTCAGAATCTTCAATCAAGTACCGATCCTAGTTTCAATATCTTCTAATGTCACCTTGAGCTATACAACTTCCTGGTCACCCGTGTCCTTCGAAGTTCGGAGGGTCGTGTAAACGTTGTTGACAAGTTTTCCCGACAGCGTTTCCCAGAGCGTACCATATACATATTCAATCGAATTTAAATCTAGTGGACGTTAGTCAGTGTATTCGCTTAATATTCTCTTGTTCCGTGAAGTTCCTAACGAGATGAGTACGTTAGAAAAAGGTTCTGACCGACTACACCTGAATATTACATATACTAATAGTTGCAATGACCGGCTATACCTAAATATGACATATACTAATAGTTGCAATGACCGGCTATACCTAAATATGACATATACTAATAGTTGCAATGACCGGCTATACCTAAATATGACATATACTAATAGTTGCAATGACCGGCTATACCTAAATATGACATATACTAATAGTTGCAATGACTGGCTATACCTAAATATGAAATATACTAATAGTTGCAATGGCCGGCTATACCTAAATATGACATATACTAATAGTTGCAATGACTGGCTATACCTAAATATGAAATATACTAATAGTTGCAATGACTGGCTATACCTAAATATGACATATACTAATAGTTGCAATGACTGGCTATACCTAAATATGACATATACTAATAGTTGCAATGACCGGCTATACCTAAATATGACATATACTAATAGCTGCAATGACCGGCTATACCTAAATATGATATATACTAATATTTGCAATGACCGGCTATACCTAAATATGACACATACTAATAGTTGCGATGACCGGCTATACCCGAACTACCACACTCTCCTGAGGCTTTTATTTAGTGACTTTTTCAAATTTCGTTTTTCACTGAAACTCCTCTAATCAAATAACTTGATTATACATTGTTTGTGCACATTAAAAAAATACTACACCATTTGTGATGCAGTACCAATTCTTTGTTTATTTGTTCACTAGGTCTCTATGCAGAGAACCATGGCTTCGTCGAAAATTACTTATATGACCCTGTTAGGAAAGACTTCTTCCTTATGGCACCAGATCAAAGTGCCAGTGAAACGCATTGGTGGAACCAGGCTGAACCACTTTGGATAACGGCAAAGAAGAGTAATCTTCGGAGTGCTCTTTATTGGTGGGATGGATGCCAAGTTGAAATTCGTGGAGAGAAGCCAAATGAATGCATCCAATATAAATCACCAGAAGAGTGGGATAGCTTGGATAAAGATGTAATGAAGAAATTGAACGAAACCTTAGATAAGTTTGAGAGAGACGAAATTGATCTTGTACAGTTATATTACGAAGCAGTTGATGCAAATGGTAAGTCAAAGAGCCTAAAATGAAGTCAAAACCCTCGATTTACAGAAAATGTATTCAAACTAACGTAATATTAGTGATTACATTGTAGGAAAAACATCACATTTAACTCTCCTAAACATTATGGATATTGGTAAATTTTATAATTAGTGTAGTCTTAGTAACAGAACTGTTGATCAAAAATAAAACAAATGAATACTAGAGATAAAATTTAAATTAAAAGTTCGTAAATAGCCAACAGTAGTCAAATAACGTGAATTATTCCGATATATGTCATTGAATATATATACTCTTATATTTCCTAGTTCTATTCTTTGTTCTTGTTGGTTTTTTTCTTGCAGGTCATTCGTATGGACCAGATTCAGATAAGAGAAAAGAAGCATTTGCTCGTATTGACAGAATGCTTGATTTACTGCAAACAGAAATCGAGGAACGAGATATGACAGATAAGGTCTTGCTTGGTTTTCTATATCTATGTTCTGTATATAACTATCACTAGTGGTAGATGGACAGCTAAAGCACAGTGTTGCTATAATTTGTAATAAGCACATTTACTTAAATAATGGTTGTCTAGAATCATTCAAATTTCGGTGGCTCAGTGGTAAACTCGTGAGCTTAGGGCTTTATTGGTTTTAGATACTCACAATAGACGCAGTGTAGATAGCCTAGTTTGTTGCTTTGCTTTTTAATCATAGCTCACTCTTTTTTCTTATTTTGAATACAAATTAACAGATGACAGGATTGGCAGGTTAGAAATTTCAGCTTCTTACGAAGAGTAGAGGTATGCTGCTCAGAGTTCGATTTATAAATTGCTATGAGGCATGGAGAATATTAAAGACATGTCTGTATATAAACATGATGATATATCATCTATTAAACACCATTTCTTACAGCATAAGAAATTGAGTGAAAATCCACGCTATGAATTGTTAAGTAGTTTCAAAGAGTGTTTCATGTATTAATTATGTTTTTCGTTACCTCGGCTACATGGTTGGTTGGTTATTGGGGTTTATTGATGCAAAGCAACACGCCCATCTGCGCCAAACTATCGATGTAAAAACAAACACAAAGGTTAAGTTTCTATACAAATTAAAAACACATCAAGTTTAAATCTAAATAATGTCCAAAATCTGGTAAAAAACCCAAATAGATTGAAAATGGCCAATGGCTCGTAAACAATTAAAAACACGATCACGTTGGACAGTGTCACCATCGCCAGTGACACTGTCCAACGTCAGAGGTAAACCCTTAGAAAGTATATGTCTAAAATGGTGCCTCCGCTCACAGTCGTAACGACGGAACGAAAGTAAAATGTGGGCAGTTGTGATTTGAGTGTCACAAAGGCCACATATTGGCGAATCAGTCCCGCATAAAAGAATACGAAGGGTTAAAAACTGTGCCCATTGCATAGCTTAGCCAAGACAACTTCCTCCTTCCGATACTTACGAAAACAAGACGGCCAAAGAACAACAGAAGTTTTGACCTGGAAAAGCTTGTTATGAGGTTGCTCACTCCAAATCGACTGCCAACTGGCGCGAAGCCGAGCCTTGAATACAGGACCTTAGTCCATATAAGGGACAGGTACGGCTGTGACGGCACCAGAGCAGATGGACTTAGCTGTGGTGTCAGCAAGCTCGTTCCCGCGAATACCGACATGGCCAGGTATCCAGAAAAACTGGATAGAAATGGAAGATAGAGAAAAAATGGGCCAGTCATTTTTGAACATCGACAAGAACAGGATGAGAACTAACGTTAAACGATTCCAGAGCCAGTAGAAAGATAAGAAAGTCGGTGTAAATAGTACAGTTAGTGTGCTGCTTAGCTTTTACGTGATCCAAGCTAAGAGAAATGGCATACAACTCGGCAGTGAACACAAAAACTGTAGAGGAAATCCTGTGAGCAACCATTGAGTTAAAACAAACCATTGCAGAGCCTACAGAGTCATCTGATTTTGAACCATCCATAAAAACAGGAACAGAAGAATGGTTCGAGAAATGTTCGGCAAAGAGAAAACGGTACTTCCAATCGAGAGTATCTGCCTTCCTAAGATGGCTCAAAGAAAGGTCACAGGTGGAGATGATAATTAGCCATGGCAGGATGGGCTGATCATTGGACTCAACAACGACATCCAATGACAGACCCAATTCAGCTAGCTGTGCTTGAATACGAAGGCCAAAAGGATGAATAGCAGACCATCTATACTGAAGGAGCATGGCCTACCAAGGAAGAAAGACATAACCCCAGGTGGGATGCTGTGGTAAGGATCGAAACTTGGTAGCATTTTGTAAAGTTGCAAACAGCAGAGGTGAAGAGGAGGTTTATAGGACTCGGTATACAAGCAAAAAGCCTCCATGCAAAGTCAAAGCACCAGAAGATAAACAGGGTCCAACATCTTCAAGGCAGAGAGCCTAGCAGAACTATATACCAGGTATCCATAATTCAGCTTGGAATGTATGAGGGCACGATAGATATTCAACACTGAACATCGATCTGCTCCCCAAGAGATGGAAGAGAGCACACGGAGGATGTTCAGTGCTCTTGTATACTTGACGCGAAGCTTCTTGATGTGAGAAATGAAAGTAAGCTTATGGTCAAAGATAAGCCCCAAGAACTTTGCTAGATAATTGAAGTGTATAATTTGATG